TTTTGGGATACAGTACAAAGATGAAGTAAATTGAATCTGAATCAGTACTGTTGTGCTAAGTTCAAAAATAGTGATTTTTTAGTCATCGAGACAATCTGTATATATTTGGTATGTAAAACATTTGCAAGCTTTAAACGCTGCTGTTGGGATCCCTGGGTGGCTCAGCGGTTAGGCGCCTGCCTTTGGTCCAGGGCGCGATCCTCTAGTCCCGGGATCGAGTCCCACGTCGGGCTCCCGGTATGGAGCCTGCTTCTCCCTCTGCCTGGGTCTCTGCCTCTCTCTCTCTCTGTCTATCATGAATAAATAAATAAAATCTTAAGAAAAATAAAAAATAAACACTGCTGTTTATTAAGGTACCTAACAGGCTAGCTTTCGGAAACCAATTTAAACGTGTAATTCGGTAATTAATTTTTGATTCCCGATGTTAAGCTAAATGACATAAACAGGGGCACGCGGGTGGCTCCATCCATCAAGCGTCTGCCTTCTGCTCAGGTCATGATCCCGGGGTCCTGGGATCCAGCCCCACATGGGGCTCCCTGCTCGGTGGGGAGCCTGCTTCTCCCTCTCCACCCTGGCTCATGCTCTCTCTCTCTCTAATAAATAAATAAAATCTTTAAAAAAAATAAGAATAACTGAATGACATAAACAGTGTTGAAATGCTTACTAGAAATTAAAAAGAAGTTCACTGGCTTTAAATGGGAGTGCTTTAAGTACATAGGAAGGTTTTTCCTGTTAGAGAAATGTGAAGGGCTTTAAAAGCAAACTGAATATATTAAATTGATAAAAAGCAGTGTACAATATTCAAAGGAAGTTTATTAACTAGGTTTATAACCGGAATTGATTAAGGGACGTTGCTCCATTCAACCTGAGGTGAAGAGACATAAATCTAAGGCTCCCTTCAAAGCGCTTGTTAAAATTATCAGATTAACAAGCCAAATAGGATTCGTAAAATTATCCATTCCGCATATTTATTGAGCGTGTGCCGTGGGTCGGGCATTAGTTTGGATGCTGAGAACACAAACAAGGAGCAAAATCAAGGGCCACAAACTCTCTATGGGGCCTACACCCATTAAACTCAAGAGATTCAGAAAAAGCAGCAAAGTTCTTTAACGTTTTGCTTTAATACATGGGATATTGATTTTTAAAACAAGTGAGCTAGGGACAGTCTCTTCAAACTAGACCCCAGGGGACCTCAGAAAGTCCACATCGGCAAGGGTGTCCAATCACCCTGTATCATTAGTGCCTAGCTCACATCCAACTTCCCAAACTTTCCAGAATCTTCTCTACCGTCTTTCACATCACTCACAAGAAATCTGAGTTAACCAAGATTCTTTTCTTTAAATGCAGATGTCTCCAAGGTTCGGGGGTGAGGAGATATTTACACCTTCACGTGATTCAATCAGATGGTGCTGCTTCTACCGCCTGAGCGAAGGAGTAAACTTTCCGATGGAGGCAAGAGGGCAAAATAACTTTGGGGCTGGAAATGTTTATGCAGAAAAGGGAGATCTCTGGAGTGGGGACATATGTTACAGTGTAGGGCCAGGAGTCCCTGGGGCAGTTGGGAGGTTGGGGAATTGGGTGAGAGATATAGACAGGGTGATGGAAAAATGCAAAGAATCCTCAACGGTTTCAAAAACTGCCTCTACCCAGGAAAAAAAAGAGCAGAAGCCTCCTTTTTTCTTTCCCAGGTGATTATCTGTTCCCAAGACCCAGAAGTCAAAATTGCTTTATTAAAAAGTTCCATTTGGGTAAATAAAACTTATGCAAAGTGACCTGGAAACTCAAACCCACATTGTTTCCATGGGAAAATGTTTCTCGGTCCCACACAGGCCACTTACAACCATTATTGACCATATTTTCTAGAACCAAACCTCACAAAACCACACCCAGGCAGATCCAGAAAACTGCAGAGACTCTACAGAAGCCCAGCAGCGACCTAGACTACAGGTTTCCGGGGGCCAAGCCTATGCTGAGGACGCCCTGAGCTGCTCAGGTCGCTCCCACATCCCAGCAGGTGCATGCACTTCACACACTCCACCCCCGTCAGTGCTGGTGGCCCTGGGACAGCTGGGCGACCCCCGTGGTTGTGAGCCACGGCCAATGCCCCATGCTGGCATTTAGGCACCAGTCGAAGAGCAGGCGGGCGACGTGGGCACAGACTGTAGAGGGCTAAGGCCTCAGGCTCTGGAGTCTGGGAGAACCAGGTCAAAGGCCGAGGGGCCATGCCCTGGCCACGACCAGCCATGGGTTACCTAAACTCTCCGCACCTCAGTTTCCTCACCTGTGAAGTGGGCATAAAATACTGCCCCCGTCTTGCAGAGTTTCCGAGGAGTTTAAATGAGATAACGCATGTGCATCCTGTACCTGCCACGCGGGGAGGGCTCAGGCGTGGACGGCGAGCCCACGGTCAGAGACACAGCGCCTCCCTTCCGCAGGCCCGTGCCATCCACGTGGACGACAGTCCCTGGCGTCTCGGTTGGCTCAAGTGACTGACAGCTTCTTTTCAACATCCAAGGCACCCGGAAACAATCCAACTCTTATTTGGGGTCTCGATATGCTGGAACGGGTTACGGGCTTATGAACGCTGCTCTACCGGTTGACAAGGATTTGGCTTTATTCCGGGGAGTGAAAATTTCATGAAGACTCGTGGAAGAGTTAGGAAGAAAAAGTGCAATGCTCTAAGTGATGCACATCTAAGTAATCAGTGCCCTTGCGGACGTCCCGTCCCATACTAGACCAAAACACCATAGACAGTAATTCCTCGAGAAAAGGATTTTTCTAAACAGATCCACATAAACCAGGCCGAGTTGTTAAGGGGGGAAATGAGTTTAATAATACAGTATTAGATTGAGTATCATCCAGGAAAAGTGTATTGTAAAAAAAAAATGTTTGAATATAAAATCAACCTCTGGTAACTTTAGTGTTGTAAATACTTGTATTATAGTGAGGTAGACAGTTTAAAAAAAACTCTCCATTAGACAGACTTAAAATTTTGTAATAATATTTAAGAAAATGATAACATTATGAAAGAATGAAATATCTGATTAATGCTTAACTTTGTACAACTCGAATATAAACTTTAAAAATATTAGAAATTATAACATTTGAGTGCATATAACGTTTGTACATTAAGATGAATTGCATGCTGTCCACTTCCTCTTTGCACTTTCAGTCACCTTAAATAAACAAATATATACAGCCTTAACAGAACAACAGTGCATCCAAAGCAAATGTGCATTTTAAATTATTTCTCCTGGCCAAGTCTTTTTTTTTCTTTTTTACTTAGCATTTTATATTAGCATTTCTTATCATTCTCACCCTTTCTTGGACAGTTTGTAGTTCTCTGAACCAAACCAGCAACAGGTTTAGATTGAGAGAGAGCAAAACCACTTAGGAAAAACAAAGACTTTTTTTTTTTTTTTTAATGGTTGGTTCCCTTGTTTAAACCATTTCATGGTCAAAGATGAGAAGGAAACTAACTCTGCAAAGGGCCTGCTTACGGGCAATGTCTGCAAAATAATACTGGTGCAGGCTGGGGAAAGGTCCTGTGTCTGACAGCCTGGGAATGGGTATCTAGATGGCGAGGCGCTGCTCTCTCAGGCTTCCTTCTGAAAGATGAATAATTCCACCCCTGCCTCCTTCCTCGCTGTCCCTCCCCCGTCCCCCACCCCAAGCTCAATGTAACACTTTGCTCTTTTCACAGTTTCTCATTACTAAGTTTTAAAAACATTGCCTAACTGGTAATTACAATCTGAAACAATTCTTTTGGGGGAGCCCTGGGCTATTGCTGGCTGGTAATCTTTCAGGAATGTTCAGAGAGAGGAGGGAACACAGATTCTAAAGAAATCTCTGGGCACAGGGAGCTGAGTCCCCTTTCATCCTTCTCTTCCCTGCTTCTGGCCTGCCCTATCTCCCTGTCTGTCCATCCGGCCTTCCTTCCTTCCGAGGGGCCCAGCGTCTCCCCTCCTGACTTCACCCTCTGCTTCCTGGCTGAGTCCCCTCCTCTGCACCTCTTACCTTAGTTACACAGCTTCCCAGCCCTGCTCGCTTTTTGTTTAGCTGGAAGATCACCTTCCCCTTAAAAGGGGAGTCTGAATTTTGGCAAGTTCTGTTCAAAGAAATCAATTAGAAACAGACACCGCAAAAGGGCTTTTCCTGGGTTACCTCCAGCCTGGTTAAGACCCCTCAGTGTCAGCCCGTCGGAGGCAGGCCTTGTGGTTTCTCATTATCCTTCAGGGGGTTCCATTTGGACTCATTCTTGTCATTCCATCCATACCAGTTCCCCTTTCCCCTACCAGAAAGAGCAACAGTAAAGGCAGGGACCTGAGCCTCCTTGAGTGAGATGTGGGCTGCCATCCCCGCAGTGGGAGAGGCCGGGATCCGAACAAGGTCCCCTACGGGCAGGGCCTTCCCTGGTTCCCTAGGGCTGGGGTAGTTCCTCTAGGTGGACACTCAGGGTTTGGGAGCTCGCAAGGCACAGGCCATGTGAGGGCCGGAGAAGACACCCCACCTTCTTCACTGGGGCAGGAAGCAATCACACCAGGACGTGCTGGTGGAGGTGGGGGTGGAGGGGGTGCTGGTGGAGGTGGGGGTGGAGGGGGGCTGGAGGGGGGTGATTCTTCATCCCACAGTGTTTCTCTTCTTGAGCAACACATTCTCCAGTCCGTGGGGGCGGTGGAGAGCCAGGTAGGCGTCTCTCCACCCCGCACCTCCTATCAAAACCTGCGAGCGAGCGAGCGAGAGAGCGAGGCGCACAAAAAATCCAAGGCCACAGCAATAAGGGGAAGGGAAAAAAACCCTAAGGCAATCCTCCTCGGGCTCCTTTTCTTCCAGCGTGGCCAGGCAAGGTGTGAAAGTCCGCATCTCCCTCTGGGCGGGCAGGTGGGAGGGCCCCGGAGGGGGGCGCGCTGGGCCTCCCCCCCCCCCCCCCCCCGCCGCGAGTCCCTGCGTCCGTCGTCCGTCGGTGCGTCCGCTCCCCACGCTGCGCCCGGGCGTCGCCGCTACCTGCAGCCGCAGGACTCCACCACCATGTCCTCGTACTGCTTGTAGACCACGTTGTTGCCCGCGTCGATGTACAGGATGCTGATGGGGGTGAGCCTGGTGGGCACGCAGCAGCTGGGCGGCGTGGAGCCGGGGTCCATGGAGTTCATGAGCGTCTGGATGATGGCGTGGTTGGTGGGCTCCAGGTGCGAGCGCAGCGGGAAATCGCACACGCCCTCGCAGTGGAAGGCCTCGTACTCGAGCGGCGCGATGATCCAGTCGTCCCAGCCCAGCTCCTTGAAGTTCACGTGCAGGGGCTTCTTGCCACAGCGCAGCCTCGACTTCTTGCCGTGCCGCTTGCCGTGGCGGCTGGCGAGGGCCGTGCGCCGCCGGCGGCCGGGCGGGGGCGGCCAGGGCGCGGCCAGCGGGGCCCCCGGGGGTGGCGCCCGCCCCCCGCCCGGCCGCCCCCGCGCCTCGGCCAACAGGCTGCGGCGCCGCGAGCGCGAGAACACGACGAGCAGCGCGCGCTCCTGCGGCCGCCGCGCCCCCCGGCCGAAGCCCAGGCTCCGCAGGTCCGGCGGCGGCCCCCGCGGCGACCCTGGCCCCGGCCCCCGCGCCCCGGCCCCGGCCCCGGCCCCGGCCCCGGCCCAGGCGGCGCGCAGCTCCAGGCACAGCGGGCCCCGCGGCGGCGGGCGCAGGCCGGGCCGCACGTCGAACACCTCCCAGCCGGCCCGCGGCGGCCCCTGCGGGGACAGGGTCCGCGCGCCCAGCAGCCGCGGCGACAGGCAGGGCGACAGCTGCAGGCGCAGCGGCCGCGGCGGGCCCCGGGGCGGGGGCGGCGCGCGGCGGAACAGCCTCAGCTCGGCGCCCACCAGCTCCTCGCGCTCCGGCAGCGCCGACACGTCGAACACGTACTCCTGCCTCCGCAGCGGGGCGCGCGCGGCGGCGTCTGCCGGGACACAAGGGCCACAGTCAGCCTCGCCCCGCGGGGACGCGAGCCAGGGATGCGCGGCCGCGGGGGCGGGGCGGGAGGCGGGGAGGGGGGTGCACCGAGGCCTCCCGGGGAGCGGGGGTGGGCGGGGAGGGGTGCACCCAGGCCGCCCCGGGATGCAGGGGGCGGGGAGGCGGAGCACCGAGGCTGCCCGGGGATGCAGGGGGCGGGGAGGGGGTGCACCGAGGCTGCCCGGGGAGCGGGGGGGGGGCGGGGAGGGGTGCACCGAGGCCGCGGGGGGGGGGGAGTCCTGCTGGGGATGCATCGCGATCGCCCCGGGAGCAGAGCTGGGGGGGCAGGGGGGTCCTGTTGGAGGTGCATGGAGGCCGCCCGGGAGGCCCTGCTGTAGGGTAAATCGAGTCAGCCCCGGGAGCGGGGGGGGGGGGGGGGGTTGGGGGCAGGCTGGGGGTCCTGCTGGAAGGTGCACTGAGATGGCCCGGAGGAGCTAGGGGGCAGGAGGGGGCTGGGGGAATCCTGCTGCAGGTGCATTGAGGCCGCCCCGGGAGCAGGAGGGGGAAGCAGGACGGGACCTCTACTGGGGGTGCATCAAGGCTGCCCTGGAGCAGGGGAGGAGGGAGCGGGGGAAGGGAGCCGGGGAGCGCCCCCCGCCAGGGTCCTGCTGGGGGTAATTCGAGGCCACCCGGGAGTAGGGGGGGAAGGAGCGGGGGTGGGGGGCAGGTCCTGCTGGGGAGTGCATCGAGGCCGCCTGGAGCTGGGGGGAAGGGGTGGGGGTCCTGCTGGAGGGTGCACCGAGGCCGCCCCGGGGAGCGAGGAGGCGGGAGGGGGCGGGCGGCCCGGGGGCGGGGGTCCTGCTGGGCTCCCCCCTCGGAGCGCTCCCTCCCCCGCCCAGACGTGCGCAGCTGGGGGCACCCCGCGGCCTCCTCCCCGCGGCGGGGCTCCCGGGCGGAAGTCGGAGGCTGCCTGGGCAGGGGCGCGGCCTCCCGGGTCTTCCCCCAGGAGCCCGCGTCACCGCTAATGTGCCCTTTGTGGCCCTGAGCCCGGGCGCGCTTCCCCGACCGCCCTTGGCTGCGGGCTCCGCTCACACGCACCTCCCGGTCGGGATGTCACCTCCTCCGGGGGGCCCTCTGCGACCACCCTGACCTCAAGTAGTCTCCCTGGGCCACCAGCACGCCCCAGCGGAGGCGCTCCCGCACCCACGCAGCCACAGTGGCCTCGGCGGGGTCCAGCTGCGCCCGACCTGCAGTACCTGCTGCTCCATAAGCTCTTCTCACTCTGCCGGCCCCTTAAAACCATCTACTGGGGCCAGGGCTGGTCTTAGCCACTTGCAGAAATATCTGAGGACAGAGCCCAGGCACTGGGGTTTTCGATAGTTTTGTTGTTGTGCTCTTGGTTTTTAAGGTCCGAGAGGATTTGAAGATGCAGCCCTCCCCTAGACCACCGCTCTGGGGTGTCCCAAGTGTCCGCCCATTAGACACTCTGCTGAAGGATTTAGGCCCGGCACAGGGAGGCACAGAGAGGACAGAATGAAGATCTGCTGTGTGAAGGCTCCCTCGCTCGCTTTTTCAAAGTCACCAACCATTTTAACAACAAACAAAAGAGCAATGAAGCTTTCAGAAGTTGGGGGGTGGTGTGGGGGGCAGCAAATGAACACACACACACCAGGCATCCATCCATTGAGAAGATCCTGCAGCCCATGAGGAACACATCAGTTAGGAGAAAACTTCAACCAAACACACACACACACACACAGTGACCTTCCCCCCTCCACCCGCTCACCCAACTTGAAATCTTCTTGCTTTGGAACTAATCTTAAAGATGAGTTTTTCGGTCACAAATAAGGAAAAAGAAATTTAGGGCACGTGATGGGGGAGGTGTTGCAGGGAAATAAAATAACAGGCTTTTAAAATCCAAGAGGAATTCTTTGGGACCAAGGCGAAACTTGACTTCTTTTTTGACGCATTTGTGCATGAAGCCAACCCCACTTCAATATGCAAGGCAGAAAGCTAAGCAGATTTTCCTGGGCTGCCTTCTCATAAAATATTTACAACCCAGCAAATACAAAAATCCCCAAAGCCCCCCAAGCTTTCCCCAGAAGCTAGTAAAGTTTGGTTCGATTTCAATAGTAAAAGTGTCACTGGGTCCCCGGGTCGGACCCTCCCTGCCCGTCCAGATGCAGCCCCAGGGCTCGGGACCTGGAGTCTCAGCCACACCCAGACCCCACTCTGGGCCAACCGCAGGGCCAGCTACCTCCCTCTAAGACACATGCCCCAACCTGAGATGGAGCCGTAGGAAGGGTTAGAGAGGTGAAGAGGGAAAAGCTGCTGGAGGCGGTTGATTTATGGAAGCCAAGACCTTCAAACCGACCAGGGTCACATTAAAATCAGTGGGAACTCAGCACACTTTCTTCTCCTCCTTTAAAGAAACCTGCGTCTGACAACCCTCAGCCACCACCCAGATCTCTGGACCTAGTGCCTGAGGCTTCGCTTTCTTGCCTCTCATATTTCTCTCTCTCCAAGCAGGATGTGATGAGAGGGACAAACCGAAGGCATTCGCTGCGCCAGCTACACGTCGTGAGGGCTGACGCCTCTTTAATCCTGACTTTATCCACAAGCACAGACCAGTCCTGCAAGACACATAGTCCTGTGGCTCCCATTTTACAGGTGGGAGAGCCAAGGTTTGCAGAAACTAAGTTAACGACCAACGTCTGGCAGCTAATAAGTGGTAGAGTTGAGATTCACACTCAAGGCCACTAAACTCCAGAGTGGGAGCATTTAGCCCCTGAGCCCCGCTGCCCCCTTGTCTCTCCATTAGAGCGCGGGCGCCAGAGCTCGGGAGCAACCAACCAGGAATGGCTGGGGCATAAGGGGTGGGGGGTCCCGTCCAAACTGTATTTGCAGGGCTTGCTGGGAATGAGACATGGACTGCCTAGGGACATCACTGCCACCTCTGCGTACATGACTCTTGAGATACTTGGTCACTGGTGGGAGGGTGTAGATGGGAGATGTAGAGGCTAATGATTTATTTCTCTCTCATGAGACATGGAGAGAAATCTTTTCTCTCTCTCTCGCTCTCTCTCTTTTAAAGTGTGGGCTAATGACAGCTAGTCTCCACCGCTGAGTCACATTTCTCTAGTCCTCAAGAACGGTCAAAACAGAGGAAAGCGTCTGTAAAGAGGGGGCTCTACTGCTCCGGCAGCCTTGGGCTTTCTGCCACTCTTTCTAGCGAGAGCACCAGCTCTATCTTTGCGGGGCTCAAGGGAGGACTCAGACCGTAACCTGCTCCCTTCTCTTCCTGCACCAGCTCCGATCCACAGGAGTGGCTTCACCCGCATGACTGTGGACACCCCTGCTCACAGGGCCAGGCTTCCCAGGCATGTGTCAGTGGTGTGGACACACTCCCAGGAGGACAGACCCAATGAAGCAGCTGCCAGGGCCTTGGAAGGGGGCTCTGGGCTATGGGGGCAAGATCTCTACGGTGTGGGTACCTCAGTAGAGCAGGGGCTCTCTGGGCCACTAAACCTGTAGGGGTTCCGAAGTCTGCACCACCAGCATCATACTTGTTAGAAATGGAAATTCTGTCAAGCCCCAGGGGTTGTTGTGGAAGCCAGAATTTGCATTTGTCTTCAGTTCCCAGGTCACGTTGATTCTGCTGGTCTGGGATCCCACTTTAAGAACCACTCGTGTAGGGATCCCTGGGTGGCGCAGCGGTTTGGCGCCTGCCTTTGGCCCAGGGCGCGATCCTGGAGACCCGGGATCGAATCCCACGTCAGGCTCCCGGTGCATGGAGCCTGCTTCTCCCTCTGCCTGTGTCTCTGCCTCTCTTTCTCTCTCTGTATGACTATCATAAATAAATTTAAAAAAAAGTTAAAAAAAAAAGAACCACTCGTGTAGATGAGCAGGTCCCCTTGGCTCTTCAGATTCCCCACCCTGTGGATGGGCACCACTGGGGGTGGAGCAAAACCGGGTCCTCCAAAGCACAGCACCCAGGGCAGGGTCTAAGGTGGTACTCGCCAGAGCCAAGTCTAGCTCCTTTTTGCTCCCCCACCTCAACAGCCACCCCCACATTTTCTTTTTTTTTACTCTTTCAGCCACATGTCCTCTTGCTGGGTCTCCAGAACTTCTAACCCCTTAACAGAAGGTCCATAAAGGTGGCTACTCTGCGCAGCTCTCCTACAGACCACATTCCCCACCTGCCCGGACCTGCTCTGGAGCCATGCATCACAGAAATAGCCCAGAGGAGGCATCCGACCCGGGGAGTGCACACACCGCCATCCCCTGTGACCCTGAAGACACTCGGGCTGCAGACTGGCATCTCAGAGCCCGGCCCTGCTGCCACGGCCCGCTGCCTGTGGGTAGGAAGCCAGCCCTTCACACGCCCTCCCACAAGCCTCCTCTCCCCTGAAGGCCTGCCTAAGTGAGGGCTGGTATCATCAAATGACTCTCTCCCATCCCCCTCACCAGAAACAAGCACCTTTCATTCTGTTTGTGGCACTTTTTTACAACCCAGAAGTGCATCCTAAGCACTTTAAATCAAAATCAAAATCAATCAGTAATAAATCATGGGAGCTTTATATTTTGCTTTTAATTTGCACAGACCTTGGCTCAAGCCTGGCGAACTCAGTGTTTGTGGGTCTGAGACACACAAACCTTTCCAGTTACAATCGCTGGACTTGCGCTTACCCATTTTCCCAGGTGGCTGCATGGAGGGACGAAGGGGAGAAGAGACCAAGGAAGGAACAAACCATCCGAGTATTTGAAGGAAAGTCTCCATAATAAATAGGCCAGCCTTTCTTGAATTAAGGGCAAGGCGGTCAAATGCTGAGGTGAGGACACCTCAAACACGCACGTCCAGTGGGGATTTCCATAAACAGCTTTAAAAGGAAACAAATGAGGACACAGAAGAACTACCTGCAAGGCAGGGACCATAACACCCTTTTTAAATTCTAGAAAGGCACAGTCCGCAGTGCGGGGGCAGCCTCAGCCCTGGCTGGAGGAAGC